CTCAAGCCGGTCGATGTCTAGGCTTTTCTCCGTCTTGCAACTACTCCCAGTTTGAATTCCGGCGTGGATTCCTGATCCAACTATGGGCTACGGCACACACACTAGTTTGCGAGAGGGGGGCAGATCAGAATATGACAGGCGTTATTAAGGTTGCGCTCCCATAATACATGCCCAAAATGGGCGGGAAGGTGGGTCGTTGGTGGCACGCTTAGGTGCGGGTTCAGCCACCAGCCAACCGCATCCTTTCTGGCACTCCGGCTCAGAAAGATCTGAATCATGTTTGAAAACTACGGCCACCTCCGTCTGATCCCGCCTGTGGCCGTTGTCTTGACACCGGGCGAGGAAAATACGGTCGATGCATCGCAAATCTACTATCACTTAAAACTGATTTACGCTGAAGCCCACGGTGGAAATCGATGGTCGAGCTGCCAGTATTTTAATAAGCTATCGAATAATCTACGGTTGGTATTACTCTCTTCTCAGGAATTTCGAGCGACCAGCCAGACGATCTACGTGAATAAAAAAGGGGAAAAATGAGTCTATTCGTACAAGAGAGCGCCCTAAATTATTACCGACAAACTCTTTTACTGATCATAGTAACAAGGAAATCAATAATAACTTGATTGGTTACTATGCTTTTATAAGTAGGCATAATTAATTACTTAACCCAACCCCTGCCGGAGAACTGTGACGACTCAAACATTTCCGTTGCAACATGTGCGCGTTTTTGAACCCACCCCTTACATTTTGCGACTTTCTAAATTTAGAACCCGCGTCCGATAGAGCAGTTTCTGAAGGGTCGACTTCCATTCCCGAGGAACTGGCACTAACTAATGGACTGCTGTCTGAATCAGCCCGCAAACTCCGTCGCCTGTACAACGCGCAATATCGACGATTGGGTGATTATTCACCCCAGTCACTAAATGGAGAGTACTCCCTTCGACCCAGTCAGGTGGAATTACAGTCTGCGTACAGTCTGGTTAACGATCTCGTCAGCTTGGTGGCTACTGTACCTCCCGGAGCCGTGGTTTCGCGCCAGGCCATTCGTCAACAACTGGGCATTTGCGATCTCCCTCTTGCAGAAGTTGATGTGCAGAATCCTAATGAAGCAGTGTCCGCCACCTAACGGTTTTGCCTTTAAATGCATTTGTGTGTGTCCTTAAATACTTACAGCTGTATCTTTCCTTTTGTTTGTCCATAATAATAATTGTTTACTTATGTTTTTCTGGCCCGTCTTATGCACCGCAGTACACGATCTGCGGTCCATTTGTCCTTCTGAGGAGATAATATTACCGGCAAAGGCAAGGGAGACGGAATGGCCATTTCTGGCTTATTATTCGACCTGTTAGGGACCGAATAATGAGGCCCAACCCGAGGTTCGAACTCGCGACCTTTTTGATCAATTTCTAACGCTTTAACAATTGAGCCGCGAGATATTTACACATTGATGAGCGTTCACCCACAGCTTACGGAATTCACTTGTCCTGCTCCACGTTTGCCTTGGGCCTCAGCCGTAGCAGCTAGTATTGCCGGTAAAGACAGGGGAGATTGGAATGGAAATTTCTGGCTTATTACCCGTCCTCATCCAGCCCCACCCAACCCCAATTGGTGCACAACCAGGAGCTTGTTTTTTGACCGTCTGAGGGCAGGCGCACATAATCCGACATTTTGTACACACGGACGAATTGGGGTGCGACGACTATTGTCAAATCAGCGGCAATCCGGCATGCTTCCGCCCTGTGACCCACCCATTAGGACAGAATTCACGGTAGACACGAATACTATAATAGTTTGTTACACATACTCATAAAAAAGCGCGTGCAAATCCACTAGGTAAAAAAATATACGAATGCTCTGGTGAGGTCCACGTTCTTCAATCGGTTGGAGGAAGGCGACACAGCTGTTCTTAGAGTTGGACAACTTCGCCTTCCGCACTGATTGGTTGTTGTTGCTGCTGCTGTTGGCTTGCAGAGATCGTTGAGTCTGCCTGAGACTCCATAGCCGATGGGACATCGCCCGTGGCATCCAGGTTAGAGTTCTCCTCAGCGGAGGAGCCGTGAGAAAGCACCAAACGAGCGTAGCTTCCGTTTCCCGCCGTGCGAGAGACGAAGCCCGGATTCACGCACACTACAC